GTGATGATGTAAGTACCGCCAGTCCTCAGCTCCAGAGTGTCATTACTCAGATCCATCTTGTCCAGATATTTAGTTATCCGTTTTACTTCTCATGCGAAGCCAAGTAAGATCATTGTGGCACTGATCCTTTTTTGCAATACTGCGACTTGTTCTCCAGACATACCCTGCCCCCTAAGGGTAGTCCGAGCTTCCATGCATGACCTCAAGCTCTTCCACAACTCATAGGCGGACAGGGCTCCGCTAGTCAATCGGATGCAATATCTGTCTCCTTCATAGGTGCAAAGTGGAGAATGACCCGCGGAGTAGAAGCCACACGAGTCTTACTTCTCGTATTCTCTATGGACTTGGCTGCCTCAGTAGCTGTAGCGTCTGTCCCTTCATCATCTTGGTCGTCCCTGATAACCGTCTTCCCTTTCTTGGTAGTCGTGTCGAAGAAACCTTCGTAAACCCGATCTGTTTGTCTCTTGACCAGTTCCATAATCATATCGCCTTTCTTAGTAGACTTGATCCCTTCCTTATCGCAGAGTTCGCACAGCTGGTGCACTTTCTTCATTGAGTATTGTTTCATCACAGCCAGCGTATAATCTACGAGGCCTTCACGCGAGCAGTCGACCGCTATGCCTTTGTAACCGTTCTCAAGCGGGGTTCTTGGTTCGCAGACCTCGAACTTGGCAGGCGGTGAAGGTGTAGTAAACTTCTTGGAACATTCCCCCCGTTCATGCGTCGTAGTCGGGGTCTTCTTTGAGCATTCGCCCCGTTCATAGGTCCCACTCGGAGTCTTCTTAGTCGGTCTTCCTCGAGACTTCTTCTTGCCAGCCTTCAATTTCTTCTTTTCTCATCGGAGCATCCTTAGTATGCGCAGAGCTTCTTCATCCGTATCAGTGGAATCTTCGGAACCCGAACTGCTGCTGCTGTCCGAACTTGAAGACGTACTTTATAAGACTGCTCGTATGTGCATCTTCTTCTTCGTAGCTGGCGTCTTCGACTTTTCCTTCGATTCCTTCTTTGCGATCACTATGCTCCTCGGTGAAATCTTTGGGTTGATATTTTTTGTCACATCCTCCGTCTTCTCTCTGGCTTTGTCCGCTGCCTCTTCTTGTTGTTTCCGCCACTTCTCCGTGATCTCGGCCTGTAACAGAAGTTTCATTTCTTTTGTCCTCCTTGTAATATCCATCTCCCGTCTACGTTCTTCCTTTTCCTTCAGCCTCATTTGCTCTTCTTCGTTCTTTTTCTTCGTTCCTCCTCCTTCTCCTTCATGAGGTTCCTGACGAACATGTGTATATTGTATTCTTGTTGGGCCCTTGACCCCGTTTGGTCCAACAGTCTCTAGCGAAGTGCCCAGGCTTTCTGCATTCGTAACAAACTGATCCGTTCTGCCTAGCACCCCACCCTCCATTGTTACCATTATTCCCGTTGTTCCCAATGTTCCCATTGTTCCCATTATTATTATTTTCGTTACCGTACATCTCGACCGCCGTATTCAGGAAACAAAGCAGTTATGTAGAACTCACTAGTCCGTACCGAGCGTCACACTATCTCTATCAGCTATACTCATCCTCCCGGAGGTCGTACAATACCATATGTAGAAATACCAGATCTGAGTCCCTAGTAGGCTAGCACATCTATGTCTTACGTATCTAGCTGAACGATAAGCAGCCAGACTCATGAAAAGATGAGTAATCAGAAAGGTGAGTTAAACAAGCACGGCCACCGTTAGGCAAAAGGCTCCGGTTACTGTGATCCTCAGAGAGGCAGACTGCGGCAACAACCTGTACTGGAAGCGCACAGTAGCAGGAAAACAGAGCTGCAAACTTAGAAGACAGCATCACAAGTTCTGAACTTCTGAAACAAAACTCGAGTTCTGAACCAAAACTCAAAGAAACCACTCCTCACTTCTCTCAGCTCCGACTTCCATTGCCACCATAGCAAAATTCCCAGAGAACGACAAAGCAGGTCCTTCGACCAGTTTCGTCCGTCCACTCAACGGACTCAGCAGGAAGGTGCATCGGAACAGCGCTTCAGTCGTAGAAAGAGGCCCGTGCCTTGCTTCTTATCCAATATATAGTCTTACTCGTTTCAAAATTTCGACCAATCCTAGGTGGCCTATGCTTCCAAAACTCTTAAAAAAAAAAAAAAAAAAAAAAAAAAAGTACAGGATACATGTTCCTACTGCTAACCGCCTTCAAAATAAAATAAAAGAAAATAAACTCAAATACAAATACGTGGTACATCTCCCTACTGCTAACCGTCTACCGTCGAAACGTCAGATCCTCAGACACAGCCTAAACTGAAAACATCAATCTTAGGAGTATAAAGGCATAAGTACAATATGTCAGAATAAAATAAGGGTCTCGTTAGACACTCCTAAAAGAATCCTAAAATTTTTAGGACGAGTCCTAAAGGATTTTTAGGATTTCGTGCGGCGTCGTTACACGCAATCCTAAAAATCATCTTTTAGGATTCGTCCTAAAAGGTCTCCCGCGGCCTGTTTTCATATGCATATACCCAGCCGCGTCGCCAATGTCCATCCATTCCTGCCAATGTCCGTCCAATCCCCACCAACGGCTACCGTTTGTGGCCGTTGCCCGCGTCGACCCGCAGAAAACCTCCGATGGACCCGACGGACCGCTTCTGCACCAGCAACTCCGTGTCGACGGTGCCATGCGCGTGACGCAACGAGTCCGTGAAACGCGGGAATCCTAAACTTTTCAGTAGGTCGGGGGCTACTAGAAAATTTAGGACGATTTTGCCTGGGGAATCCTAAATCCTTCAGGACTCGTCCTAACGCCGTTTTCACATTTTTGATCTCAAAATTGGATTTAGGATTGCGTGCAACCAAGACGCAATCCTAAAAACAGGCACTTTTAGGAGTGTCTAACGAGACCCTAAATAGACAAACCTCAAGACAAAACATCAGAATATATGAAAATACTTCTGAAACGACCACGAGCCAGTTCACGCGAAGACAAAACTTGCTTGGGATCATACTGGGATAACTCAACCCGTCCCTGCATCGCTACTTTCCGGTTTAAGCCACAGGCATTCTCACGCTCGATTCGAAGATCCGAGTGCCTCAGATCGATTCCTGTAAAACAACTATTTTCCACCAGCTTTCTTTTTCTTCCTCAGTGTGAGGCGTAGTACCAGCCAGAGAAAACACAGTCTTGTCTCCTGTTACCCTGACCGATTTGGCCAGGGCACCTAAGGAGACGGTGTGCATATCGTTTTGTTTTTAGAAAATTCATTTTTTTTTGTCTCGAGATACGCGTGCAATCTCTACAGCACGCACACTTGTCTTGGATCCTGCCACTGGCGATGGCAGAAACTTGGCCTCACTCTCTCTCTGACATGTGTGTGTGTGCGTGTGTGTGTGTGCGTGTGCGTGCGTCTGTGTGTGTGGGTGGGTGTGCGTGTGTCCGTGTGTGTGGGTGTTTGTGTGTGTGTGTGTGTGTGTGTGTGTGTGTGTGTGTGTGTGTGTGTGTGTGTGTGTG